ATTTTGTAATTGTTCATATGTATATTAATGTTTTGTAACCGCCCATGGTATATTAATGTTTTGTAATCGTCCTATGTGTATCCATCTTTGTCATTAATAAAAATCTCCATCATTATGAACATTAATATATATATATGAATATGAGTTCATTCATGAACAATGAGTTCACTTATGAACAATATGTTTGAATGTTCACATATGTTATATGCGTTGCTTGGATATTCACATATGTTTACAAAAGTTTATTTGGTAGTTCCATCTTTTCATATATTAACAGACAATAAATATTGTACACCTATGGAAAATATGTTCATTTATTTTAACATACAATGAACATTATACACCTATGAAAAATGTGTTCAATTTACTACCGGGTCTCCTTCACCAACCACAAATTTATAAATATTATAATAAAATTATTAAAAATTTGGGAAATTAAGAACAATATTAAAGAGACAAAAATCATGAGATTTTATGATAATGTAACCTCCAATTAATGACATAGGAGTTATATAATAAGAAAATTACACATATACCCTTCACATTAGTTTCTTGAATAGAGTTGAACCTCATACTAAAATGGATTGTGATTGGTCTATAAGGTTCATAAAGTTAATACCTTTTTTGGGTTAACAAATTAACTAAACACACACATAGTCTCTCTCTCTCTCTCTCTCTCTATATATATATATATATATATATACACACACAGACACACACACATATCAGGAGAGGTCGGGCTAGTTATCACCGTTCCCCCTGTCCCTTAAAATCCCTGAATATGTCTTCGATAACCGCCCCGTCTCCGATAAGAAATCCCCAAACCTGACCCGAAAGTTTCGATTTTCACCATCCATTTCAGTTTTTTTTGCCATCCCTATTTACAACTTGAGAGTTTTTGTTCATTACTCGTTTTTCTCCTTTCATCATTTTCACGTTTGCACAAGATCATAGTTTTTACGAAAGTAACTATTCTAATGTCATGTCTCCATGCATCTCATCCTCCTTGATTCCACCTATACTGGACTCGTTTGAATTGATTTAGGCTTATGACTTAATGATTAAGCAAATAACCAAAATAAAGTTCATTGAGACTCTTGACGGTAGAATCTAAATTATTTCCGTGATCTTCTAGTACTTTCTTCAGAAGCTGAAATTAAAAAGAAAGTAATTTCTTTTCAGTCATATAGAATTATATTTTGATCAACCTCTACTGCAACATCCAAAGGTTTATAAAAACTAGTGTTTGTGAACTTATGATGTACCTTTCATTTCACTTCCAACTCTCAGAGAAGGCACTAGAAAAGAGCGAAAATGATTTAGGTTTTGCCTGCAAGAGTCTCAACGATGGTTATGTGGCTGAGAATTTAGGTTCTTAGGTATTGTCAATGTAGATATGGACAAACTAAGGGGTTGTTTGACAGTTGCTGAATGATTTGATGCAGAATGACTAAGTAGTAAAAATGCTTAAGAGGTTCTAATGATATAGTTCAAAATGAAATATAATTATTTGGTAATTGTTTACAATGAAATTAGGGCGTTGAATGGTTAAAGAAGACACAAGATACAAAATCATTCAGAGGGTTTTAGAACCATTAAGAGGTAGATTTCTTTTTTGCCAAATAAGATTCACATCTTAACGATTCAGAGGTTGACTCTTAATAAAACTATTAAGTGGTAAATAAACAACCCCTAAGAACAAAGTTCATGCTACATGTATAAACTGCAGATCTATACTTATAATAAATAAGTAACTAGGTGACACGTGTCATCTTCTAGTGAACCAATTTTAGTGTTTTTTCGCGTAAACACATATCTAGATACAATTTACATTAGCAGTTCAATTCGATTCATTTGAACGTATCTAGACACAATTTACATTAGTAGTTCAATTCGACTCATTGAATGTTTTGTTAAAACTCAATAATTATTTTAGTTAAATTTTAGACTTTTTATATTTAAAATGAGATGTTTATCCTGTATTGATTATTTTTATCTACAGTTAGTTACACGAATTTAAAATGGAGCTTTAGTGAGTTGTACTTACGCATAATTACTTGTAATCTTGAATTTTAAGTAATATGATTAAATATACAGTACTTGATGCATAAAAAAATGGTTTTTAAGAGTTTTTTGTCAAATACTTTATAATATAACTAGAAACGTTTGCACAATGCAGGGAGAAACATTTCGATTTTAATGTTTCATCTAATAATACGGTTTTGAGAAAATGATAATGTTTTTATATTTGAATAAAATATAATTTTGAAGATCCATAAAAATTTCTATAAATATTAGTATCAAATTAACAATTTAAAAGTTTTTTTTTTATAATTTTTTTGATACAATTTAATTTAGAGTTAGTAAGGATGTGATTCATGTTAGGTCTAATAATATAATGTTTTTTTATAAATATAATTTTTAGTTCAACCTTTTTATTATTACTAATTATATTTTAGATTTTTTATATTTAAAATTAGATATTTATCCAATATTTGATTATGTTTATCTACAGTTAGTTAGACGAATTCAAGTATGGAGCTTTAAAAAGTTGTATTCATGCATAATTTACTTGTAATCTTGAATTTTAAATAATATGTATCATTGAATAGTACATGATTCATTAAAACTGATTTTTAATAGTTTTATCCAAATACTTTATAATATAACTAGAATGATATTTGTATAATGTAGTGAGATACATTTTGATTTTAATATTTTGTTTATTTCTTTGTCATTGTCGATGTAATACAGTTTTACATGGTTTTGAGAAAACAATAATGTTTTTATTTTTGAAAAAAATACAAAATTGAAAATATCATAAAACTTTGAAAAAAAAATGTCGTTATTAGTATCAAATTAACTTTTAAAAATTCTCATTTTTTGTACGATTTTTTAAATTCAAATTTTTGTTATAATTTAATTTATGTTTAATAATTAATTAATTTATTTTTGACTTAATAATATAATTCTTTTTAAAGATGATAATTAAGTATTATGTTAGAAGCTAATGATTATTCTAATTACTTTTTGGAGTTTTATATTTAAAGTAAGATATTTATCTTGTAATTGATTATGTTTATTTGCATTTAGTTACACAAATTTGAAAATAGAGCTTTAATAAGTTGTACATATGTACAATTTAATTGTAATCTTAAATTTAAGTAAAATGTATTTGCTTAACAGTACTTCATGTATAAAAAATGGTTTATAAGAGTTTTCATCAAATGCTTTATAATAGAGTATAGATATAGAGGGTAGTCACACAATACAACGAGATACATCTTGATATGTTTTATTCTTTGTCTCTGTCGATATAATACAGTTTTATGCGGTTTTGAGAAAATAATGTTGTTTTTATTTTTCAATGAAATACAAATTTGAAGATATCATAAAATATTGAAAAAAATATATTTATTTTAATATCAAATTAACTATTTAAAAGTTATCTTTTTTTTTTTACGTAATTTATTTTATTTAATTTTTTAATTATAATTTAATTTAGGTTTAATAAAAAAATAATTTATTTTTTATAAATATAATATATAAGTATTCTGTTATAACTCAATAATTATCCTATTATATTTTAAATTTTATATATTTAAAATAAGATGTTTATCCTGTATTTGATTATGTTTATCTGCATTTAGTTACATGAAATAAAAAATGAAAGCTTTGATAAGTTGTACTTATGCATAATTTACTTGTAATCATGAATTTTAAGTAATATGCATCGATAAACAATATTGCATACATAAAAAAATGGTTTTTAAAAGTTTTTTTGAAATACTTTGTAATATAGTATAGATATAAATAAATAAACAGTTGCAGTTTTGAAATCCAAAAAAAAAAAAAAAAAAAAAAACGGGTTAAATGCATGAAATAACATACTTTCATAAATTTTCTTATTATAATATTATACTTTTGTTTTTTTTATTACAATAATATATTTTCAAATTATTTTTTTATTAAGACATCACACTTTATTTTTTTTAAACCGGTTAACCCTTGACCTTTTTTGCTTGTGTGACTTTAATGAGATGATGTGAATGACACATCAGTTTGATAACTTAATTAAAATAAAAATAAAAACATATTTCAAATTATTATTATTGATTTTCATTTTTCATTGCTATGTTTTAAAAAGACATTTTTTTTTGACTTTTTTTTATTAAGTTGCATGCAAATTAAATATCTTAGAGTAAAATATCTCTTAAATAAATATGTTACATTATTTTCGAGATATATTTTGTTCGTAAAAAAGATAATACTTCTTATTTTATGTTGTTCAAAAAATACATATATTTTAAAGTTGTTTTGAAAATGTTAACGAAATATATTGTGTTCTACAATTTTTTAATACTGTTATGTTAATAAATAATTCAAAAAAATCTAATTAATTTGATATTTATATGTCAAGTAAAAGTTTTTGAACAAATATAATATATTTTTCAAAAGATAATATTTTTTTGATGAAAAATAAAAAATTCTTATTTTCTTTTTTCAAAAAACACATGTTTTGTTTTAAAAGTATTAGTGAGATAAGTTGTCTTCTACTAGTTTGATTAATATTGGTATATTAATGAATAATTTAGAATTTTTTTATTTATTTAATATATTTATTAAATAACATGTAAAATATCTAAATATTAAAATTAAAAATACATTGTATAATAGGAACTAGTAGATGTTATAATAAAATAATTTTAAAAGTACAATATTGTAATAAGAAAGTCACATCACTATAGTACATGTGGACAACCTACATAGAAAATGTGGTGATATGAAAACCTGGTATAATAAATAATTTTAAATCAAAAAATTATCCAATGCTATAATGGATAAAATTTTCAAAGTACAATGTTTTAAAAAAATAGTTTAAAAATACATTTTTGTAATAAGAAAAATTAAAAATATAATGTTATAATATATAAATTTATGAAAGTAGATTGTTATTTAGTTGCGTTTGAGGCCCGATATTCATTTCATCGACCCCAAACCCGAACGACCATCCCTTTCGCGTTGCTTCCTGCGTCCGCTGATCGAAGCACAGGCGACAGCCTCTCACTCCGCCTCAAATCGCTTTCATGCTCAGGTTAGATACTTGATACTTATATTAGCTTCTTTCTTTATAATAGGGTTTCAAAATTACTCTGTTAATGCTTAACATACGGCTTAATGGGGGTTATGTTACATAAGTTGGATTCGTTATTTGTTCTTGAAGGTAGAAGCTGTTGGTTGAGTTGAGTCTCTATATGAGTTAAGCAGGACCTTCTTATGGAATGAAGAGATTATGTGGTTGTTATCTCCAACCATGGCACCAATAAAACACCAAAAACATCAAACACTAAAGAAATTCTCAATTCCAACCCTACATTTAGTCATGCACTCGTGCCTGAGAAACCATTGCGATTTTCACTACTTTCAAGCATACTTTTATATAAGTAAATGAATAATGGTAACCCTGTTCATTTCTATTTGGCAATCTAAACTCGTGCAAGAGTTGGCCTTTTAGTATTTTGAGTTTTGATGTCTTAAGTACTTCATGCCTATGTTTTGGGATGTATATATTTTCTTTTGGGTGGAAGTCCTTGGTGTATGTTCATACATACTTTCCCTTTCTAAATACAATTTGCTTCGAGTCTTTTAAGAGCCTAAACTAACTTTTGATTGTTGGAGTCTATCATTGGGATCACCTATCGATAGATTGGGATCTTGGATTTCATCTTCGCTACTAAGCTGCTAAGCACGTTCCTCGATACTCGGTCGTTTTTCTATCATCAGAAGTCCCTTTTCAGGTTTTGTGTATTGTATTATTTCCCTCGAAGCATCTTACTGTTGGCTTTGTCTTTCTGTAGGCTGTTCCTCTGAGGGGTATCCTACAGAATCACTTGATTTAGTTAGAGGTTTCAGTACCTAAAGAGTTACAATTGGTTTGTGTAGTTTTATATCCTTGAGTTTGACCCTCCCATTCTTTTCCTTTTGGCTGTTCTTTTTCTTTCTTCTATCTTATTTACCACCTGTCCACTGTGCTTTTTGTTTATATTGAACATAACCATTAATTTCTGCAAAAGAAGAAATAAGTAATGCATGAAAACAAAGGGAGGGATGGTGCATGGAATAGAAGATGGGTAATTCAATCAAAAACAACCACCAAGTAAGTAATATTAGCATATGGTAATTCATTTCAACAATCTTGGTACTTCCACATAAAACAAGAGATGAATTCTAAGTTACACACACCAAGCATTAAAATGCATAAGAAAACACATTTGTATTATGTAGACAACTACAATTATTGATAAAAGAAACTCTTATGGGCAGAGATGTTTCAGAGATCTTGGACCTCACCGAATGATTCCATTAAATCTGGTTTTATAGAAAATATTGTTCTCCAATCCCTTTGTATATGTTTCAATGAAATTGTGAGGCCGGGAATACTACCAATACGCTTATTTATTAAATGAGGTGGGTTCTTGATACAAGGTTCTCTGCCAAAGATGTACAACTACTTAGCCAAAAATGGCAAAGCATTTTTCCAAGGGATGACTGAACCTCTGCAAATGTCTCTGCCTGACCTCTCTTTTTTTTTTGTTTCAAAGAATTGCAAGGATATTGCTGATGTTGAGCTTGTAGTAACTCCCAATATTTTAACGGCCTCTTTATTCTCTTTCAAAAATTCTAGGTGATTCTTGACGGTATGATCAGAGTGCTTAGCTATCCTAAAAAATCAAGTTTCAGAAATGTTGTTTGTGCCAGAATGTACTGCTCTAGTGAAATAAAGAAGGACGTACTTGATCCGGCAAAAGAAATATGCAACATTATGATGTCTTGTCCGAAGCTAGGGGTTGCAACTGCACTTGATCAGAGTGGTTTAAGGCCTTCATCTGAAGTAGTGGAGGAGGTCCTGAAGAGATTCGGGAATGCAGGCATGCTAGGGTATCAGTTTTTTGAATGGGCTGGGAAGCAACGTTACTATGAGCATAGTGTAAGAGCTTACCATGCCATGATCGAGTCTTTGGCCAAGATAAGGCAGTATGAAATCATGTGGGATCTTATAAACGGCATGAGGAGCAAAGGTTTGCTCAATATCGAAACTTTTTGTATAATTATGAGAAAATATGCCAGGGCCCAGAAAGTTGAAGAGGCAATTTATACCTTCAATGTCATGGAAAAATACAACGTCTCTCCAAATCTATCAGCTTTTAATGGTTTGTTGAGTGCTTTATGTAAATCCAGAAATGTAAGGAAGGCCCAGGAGATTTTCAACAGCATGAAACATAAATTTATTCCAGATCAGAAAACATATAGTATATTAATAGAAGGTTGGGGAAGGGACCCCAATTTGCCCAAGGCAAGGGAAATTTACAAAGAAATGGTTAATGATGGGTGTAGACCTGATATCGTGACGTACGGGATCATGGTTGATATCCTATGCAAAGCAGGTAGGGTAGATGAAGCCATTGAAATTATCAAGGACATGGAAGGTAGCGGTTGTTGGCCCACATCCTTCATATATAGCATTTTGGTTCATACATATGGAATAGAAAACCGAATTGAAGATGCTGTTGATACATTTCTTGAAATGGAAAGGAAAGGTATCAGGGCCGATGTTGCTATTTACAATGCTTTGATTAGTGCGTTTTGTAAGGTAAACAAGCTCCAAAATGCGTATAGAGTTTTGAATGAGATGGAATGTAAAGGGATGAAGCCAAATTCAAGGACATGCAACATCCTTCTGAATTATTTGATAGAGCGTAAAGAAACTGATGAGGCCTTTAAGGTCTTTCGAAGGATGATCAGGATTTGTGACCCCGATGCAGACACGTATACTATAATGATTAAGATGTTCTGCGAGACGGGCAATATTAAGATGGCTCTAAAAGTTTGGAAATACATGAAACAGAAGCAGTTTGTTCCTAGCTTGCACACTTTTTCTGTTCTTATCAATGGGTTGTGTGAAAATGAGGATGTTTCTCAAGCATGTATGTTAATGGAAGAAATGATTGAGAAAGGAATTAGGCCACCGAGGTTGACTTTTGGGAGGCTTAGGAAATTGCTTATAGAGCAACGGCGTGACGACGTGCTTGAATTTCTACATCAGAAGCTGAACCTATTGGTAAAAGAGCCATTATGTGACTGAGATGGCACGGTTCACTTGCTAAATTAAACGATCATAAGTTGATTTGCCAAAGGCTTCATTTTTTATATTCAGGTCAACTTTTTTCTTCTAAATATTCCTTTCCGGTCTTGTATGTTGTTCGTTCAATATCTATTTATTTTTGTGTTGGTCACCTGACTTTAGGGTGGCCTAGATTAGGGTGACCTCCTTTGACTTTGATGTCAAGCTTGTATTTAGCATACTTATAATTAATTTTTTAGTGTTCCAACACCAATTCTTTTGTAATTATAATACTTGTACTTATTGATGTTTTTCATTTATGGCATGATTGATTTTCCCTTAATACCAACGAATGGCGCTAACCACTTATTCGGTCAACGTATTTGTTTCGTAAACCAATTTTTGTCTCTTCATCGTTAAGAGCCTCTCTGATTCACCCAGGCAAAGATTTTTGTTTGTCCCATACAGAACCATATATTTTTCAATTTCTTTGTTTACCCTCTTCCTTTCATTGCACTCTCTCTCTCTTGGCATAAAATAACACTGACTGATAACGAAATTGACGTTAAAGTTCCCTCAACGAACTTGTAGATATCGTTGCATCATTAACTAATGGAAGCCATGGCTTGACTCTATATTCTTCAACAACCATCTTTGGTTATGAAACAATTTGCAATCTCATCGAAATTCCCTCATCAATCTTCTTCATTGCTGCTATTTCTAATCCTAATTTCTTAAGGATATTAAAAGTTGTCACTTGGTAAGTTTCCATATCAAGGCTCAATCTGATAAACTCTATAGCGTCTACTTTTGAACCCAACTCCCCAGGTCTCCCCCGCTATAGAATCAAGATTAACATACACATTTCTTCATGATTATTGATATCTTTGTCCCGGAAAGATTGATTTAATTCATGGTGCATCTCAAATGTCTGTGAAAGTTCCTTGTGTTGTTTCTAGGTTTTACAGAAAATCAGTTGATGCAGAGAGAGATGATGAATGCCGGCTTCATTCTATAAAGTGTTTTAACCCTAATATTAGCTTTGGTAAACTGGTAAAATCCTCTTAAACCATGTTTTCTTTACGTTCTTGGATGCATGAATGTATAGATATAAGGAAGCACAAATATGTTACATGATAGTGTTTTTTGGGAGGTGTCAGTAAACTAGAAAGCATGGCATCCAACATGTTGAAGCATTGGTCCTTACATGTATACCTAATGCACTGTTGTCTGGATGTTGTATTTACATTTTGTAAGTAACTATGTGGAAGTGTGTCATGCACCCACTTACAAGGCCCAAGCCCATATGTTTTAGGCATTCTGGAATAGTTACTTCAGTGATTTTGGGAAGTAGTCTATTAGTAGGGGGATATTTGGGTAATATTGTGAATAAGTGGGTTACTAAGTAGTTTAAGAGGGAGGGGAAGTGTGTAGAAGGTTTATGCAGAACATTAGTGTGTGTTCTTGGGAGGGCTCTGGCTTCTCGAATAGCTGGATGCTGTTTACAGTTTTAATTTAGTTAGCAATCCTTTGGTTTATAATCTGTCAATCCTTCGGTTCATCTTGGAAATAGTCTTTTGGTAACTGTGGCTGTTTGGGCCAGCTTGCGCCCATCACGACTAATCCCTTGCTCCATGGGCACTGGAAGATAACAACCAATAAAATTCTCAATGACCATGTCGAAACTCGAATTGACAACCTACGTGGAAGAACCCCAAGGCCTAGCCCTTATTTGCTAGTTGAGCTGGCCCTCAAGGTTGTGGAAGTATCACTTGATGGAACTTGGAAAACACTCTATGTATCTGATGGTCAATGTCTCAATAATAAATTTTGGGAATCGGTGGATCGTGAGGATGAGAAAGAAAACATTAGACGCTTTTGGGATTGTCATTGAATGTCTGCCAAATGTAGAAAGGATGATATAACTAGACAGATAATGTTGTTAACAAAATAAAAGCATGAAAATATTAGAACATTTGTAAAATGTGCTTGGTATTCATTAATATTGTTGGCAATTGAAATATAACCTTAATAAGAATAGCATTCATTTACCTCTTTTTTTCATTATTTTTGTGCATATTGTAATGGTTGAGGGAGCAACTATATTTCAAATACATCGTTGCTAGAAAAACTAAAATCAAATAGACAGTTGAAAGCAATAAAGATAACCGGATTTTGAACGAAGATTTGATATCGTCTTTTGTTATATGCTCTATATCATCTTCTGATTTTGGGTTTACTTAAAATCCTCAAAGATATTTGGCGTCAGTTTGTAAAATCACTCTCATCTCTTGAAAATTCTTGTCAGGCCAAACATAGGATGTTGAATTATTCTGGCTTCTGTACAGCCATGTTGGAGAGGGGTGATGAATCGATCTCAGCAGCATCCATAAGGTTTCATTCGTGTTTGAGTTATATAATTGATCTGTGAATGGGGCAGAGTTAGCCGCAGCTTACCCTGTTTACACTCTTTTGTGCAAGCTTTCTTTTTCGTGCACCTTTTGCAAACCCGCGGAAACAGCTGCTCTACCTCTGGGGTAGAGGATAGCACTACATACATCTCATCCCCTTAGACCCCACCTCTGGGTTGGATATACTGGACTGGTTTGGTTTGTTTTACACCCCAGTTTGTTACTGGAGTTTTGGTCATAGTGTTCTGTATACTTGTATTCCTTGTCCTTTTGGAGGTATTTGGCTATATGTCCTGTATACTCATTCCCTGTCCTTGCACAGTTGCACTTCTGTTTTATGATACTTATATATGCCTTTTACCTTTGACTCATGTGAAATATATGATATTTTCACAAGTAGGGATTGTAGCTATATTGCATGCTTGATTAGCTGATGATTAGGATGGAACATATTTAAGCACCTATGCTGTTAATCGCGCTGCTCTAGCAGTGCTTTGCGGTCTTGGGAATAATAGCCGTCAGAATAACGGTTCCGCTATTATCACCGCTAAATACCGCTATTTAGCTGTTATTTGGTTTCAAAATAGCGGAAATAGCAGTGCTATAGGTCCTTTTTACTAAAAAAGGCAGTCTTTTTACCTTTGGCTTCTTTGGTTCTTCCAAGTTCTGCCATGAGGATCACGATAAGCTTCTTTAGGTCCTTATACCATTCCACAAGTACAACAAGAAGGTTCCTTTTGGTTCTTCCCCATTTCATGAGGAAACAGCCAACGGGTTTGCTAACCAGCCTTTTGAACCTACAACGTCTGTTTAACAGTCAATGGGTTCAAGAATTATACAACTCTTTTGCTATTTCATCTGTGTAAAGCTTGACTTGTTTGAGTTGATGTTTAAACTGTATATTTTTGTTGAATATAGATACTATATTAAGTATTATATATACGTACATATATAATTCTAATTATTTTCTGCACTATACCACCTCTTAACCATCACGATAACCGATATATCACATCACGGTCGTGACCGCTGTTTTGAATTTTGATCGCTGTATAAGGAATGCTAAGCACTTGCTTGAAAACTTGGGAAAGTTGATCGTCTTCTTGGATTTTGCTAGGAAAACTTAAAAGCATCGAACTACTTTGATATGATCCATCAAAATCAGGTATTCCAATGCATGCATTATCAACTGCTGGATGAAACGCATGCAGTTGAAGGTCATATGTTTTTGTGTCAGTATAATTAATGATTTTACTTTCTCTACCTCACCTCCTAGTTAGATATACCTGGCTCGTTTGGTTTGCTTTGGTTTAACGTGATGTTGAAGTGTTTGCTAGCAAGTATAAGAAACATTGATTGGATTTAAAGCAATGTTGGTTCCTTCAGAAATTATTATGCATGCTCTTATGGTGGTTTGATTTATTTGAAATTTGTTAATTGATGCTGTACAAATCTGGGTGCGAAGACTACAAGTCAACAGAGCAGGAAACCAACCAAAATGGGCTGGTGACCCTTCCGCTCGACTGGGGTCAAGTTCATGTTTTCTTGGATTTCCTCCTCCTTTTAGTTTCAGTCTGTTGATTTCTTATTTTGAAATTTATTTATTTTTCCCGAATTTTTAGTTTATGTGAATCTCAAACTCAACGCAGTGGCCGCCGTACCAAACAAACCGCTGGCAAGTCTACAGGTGGAAAAGCTCCGAGGAAGCAACTGCTACCACCAAGGTTTGTGATTTTATGTTCGATTACTATTGTTTCTTTTTTTCTACACTTCTCGATCTAATTTTATAGTTAGATGCGCTTTTAAATCATGAACTGAATAGAGTTTGAGATGAAATTTCCAGATTTCGGGGTTTTGAAACCCACATAAGTTGTTATTAGCTCGTATGGCTTGTAGTTTTTGCAATGTAATAAGATAATAAATTCATAATTTCTTTTTCTTCGGTAAGAACGTATTTCTACTCCTTTTATTGGTCCTCGTTGAAAGAAAATGCATAATTTATTCGCACCCATAGCCTCATCAAAGATTTAGGCCATTTAATACAAATATTCATGTTGAACTTCCAACCAAAAATAGGTTCAATTCCAGGAAAAAAGAGTGTATGCCATGATCCTCCTCAAATTACCTTTAAATGGCCCAATCAAAGCCAACACAGAAGTATACATCCAGTTAGAACCAGAAGAGAACAAATTTACTTCCAACACCTTGTTGACAATTTCGACCTCAGCAAACTTTCAACAACACACCAAATTGTGGGTTCACACTGCTTTAAGATCATAAATTGCATCCACAGAAGCAAATTCTTTTAAGTCAGTTGATTTTTTGTGTGCTATAGGACAGAAACACTAAAGGCAACGTTTAACAGGGGTAAAGTTGGTTACTGGCACATGCACGTGAACAGGAACCTCCTTTGCTTAAATCTGGAAGAAAAAACTTGACGTCATATAGGATGGATTAAATCGGTGTTGAACATGTTGATTCACTATGGCACCCCACTTATTTGGGTTGCTGGTCAGGGCTGCAAGCGGCTTTAAAAGTTGTATTAAAACACCATATGTAAGACTTCATACAGTTGCTTCTTGTGTTTCTGAATATATACCATGCACTTATTCATTATTGTGCCGATGATCACCTCTCTTATTGCTGTTTACAGGTTCTTACTCTTGGAGGTGTATATTTGATATGCGTCGTTGGGGGCTTGTTTCCAAAATGCTTCCATGCTTCCAATATTTAAGTAAGTTGTAAAGTAGGAAAACATGTCTGCATTAGCTACCCAATAACATTAAAAAGGTTAAAGATAGACAATAGAACTTATTTAATTTGCGTATCTATTCTCTGTTAGGTTTTAAACTAGACGATATTTGATGGTGTCATTATGATCTCCATGAAAAGCCTTTAGGGTGCGTTTGGTACACTGGACAGGGACAGGACAAAACAGGACAGAGATCCCTGTCCCATGTTTGGCATGAATTTTATGTGGAACAGACAAAAACAGAGTGGAACAGGCCTGTTCCACCCCTACCCCATGGAAGAGGGTGGAACAGACTTATATTTTACCAATATAACTTCAAAATAAAACTTAATTCTCTTCTAAAACATCAAATAAGTCTCTCTTTTACATTTTATTCATTTTTTAAATTTTATTTATTGTATTTTATGTTTCTTAAACTTTCATTTTACTGTCCTCAAAATATTATTTTTATACGGTTTCTATATTTATATTAATTTATGTAATTTGTTATATATTAATAATAAAAAATAATATAGAAAAGAGATAAAAATAACCAGTTCTGTCCAGTCTTGTCATGTCTTACCAAACGCTGAACAACTGTCCTGTCCTGTCTGCGTACCATACGCACCCTTAGGGTGCATGTGTAATAGGATTATCAGCAAATTGAAAACCATTTTCCTGTTTTAGGAGTTTCCACTTAGTAGTGGAGACTCTCGGACAAGCCTATGACTCGATTGTCTACCCCTCGGACGATACTAATAATTTGCTATGTTTCTGTTGGTTTCAAATCATCTTCGCCTCAAAAAAGCAAAATTTGTGCATTCACTCAATGAAGTGAGTTTTTTGTGCAGAAATTTCTATGATTCATATATGTGTAAAGAAACGTGATCTTATCTGGTAGGAGTTTACACATCCTATATTGGATATTATTGGTCAGCTTGTATGCATTCTTGTGCATAATTGATGTACTTGGCTTAATTGGGCATGCTGCCTGTTTCAATGACAATGAGCTTTCCACTAGTTGCCATTCTACAGAGAGCAAGCAGGCTTGGTGTTGAAGCTTCAAATATTTGGATGCAAGTAAGTGGAAGCTGTTATGAGCATATTTTAGGGGCCTGTTACTAAACACTTACTTGACAAGTGCTGAACGCATGAATTTCCTCATCGGATGAACATGAGAAGGGACAAGAATCTTACCGGGTAAGAGCGATGAGAAGGATGGAGAGTCTTACACGGTAAGTGAGATGACGACTCTTACTMAAGTAAGCGCTTACCTAGTAAATTGTTGCATTCGATATGCTTTGATGTACTTTACGCATCTAAATAAATTATAGTGTTAACTCTTATTGGTAAGCGCTTACCGGGTAAGCATTTGGGTAAATGGCCCCTTATTTTTATTAGAGGTCTTTCTTCAAATTAGAAGTAGTGGTTTGTGGAAGAAATGCATGGGATGTTGGAATTCTTAAGAATAGGGAAAAACCACCACAAGGGCGACTTTGAGACATTATCATGTCATAAAGGGGATGAAAGAGGAATTTCAACTACAATTGTTTGTATTGTGATGTAGAGGGACATAACTTGAGGATAACTGGTAGGGCTGTAAATGAACCGAACGAACACGAATGGAGGCTTGTTTATGTTCGTTCGTTTAACTTAACCGAACAAACGAACCAACACGAACAGTAAACGAACGAAAATCTTTGTGTTCGTGTTCGTTCGTTTAGATATCAGGTGTGTTTGTGTTCGTTTATGTTCGTTCATTAACATGCTAAACGAACGAACATAAACGAATGAACTAAACGAACATAAATAAATGTTATTTGGTTTCAAAGTAAATAAACAAAAGATTATATATTAAATTTAATATATAAATGTACATAAACGAATGAATATAAACGAACGTTCACGAACGGTAAATGAACGAACGTTCACGAACGGTAAATGAACGAACGTTCACGAACGGTAAATGAACGAACGTTCACGAACATAAATGAACGAACGAGACTCTTGTTCATGTTCGTTCGTTTAACTAAACGAACAAAAAAATTTGTTCATGTCCGTTCATTTATTAAATAAACGAACTTCCCGCCGAACGGTTCGTTGAATGTTCGGTTCGTTTAAAGCTCTAATAACTTGTGTGTTGGGTTGTGCATTGCTTGTATTTTTTGTTTCTTTTTGTGCCCTCTTCTTAGTTAAGACCATCTTTAATAGGGACACCAAATCATCATATATGTACGTAAAATCTTCAATATATTGTTTTTATCATTAGATATATCATTAAATTCAAGATAGGCTAATAACTTTTCATATAACACCCTTTTTTCGAGTATTGCTTGATATAATAATTATTTTTAAGTTAATATTATCAACCACATCATTTTTATATAGTATGTCAATCCGTTCCACCGTAAATATTCCTTTAATATATAGGTTGACATCATTTGTATCACAATGTTGATTATTCAGAGTAACATTCTATGTAAATCGATACAAGTCAGTTGAGTTTTCTCTCATCTCATGTTAATGTTTTTTAGTTTTTTGTCAGTTCATTATATGTTACTGTCAAATTTATTCTTATGACAACCCGACTTGCAAATTTCTGAACTTAATTTGATAACATCACGCAACTTGGGTTGTATTCTAATAAGTCTTTGCTTCTTGAACCTCACCGTCTCTAGAAGGTGAGCCGATAAATGAATACCCAAGAACTAATTGGTTGATCATTTTTAAAATTGAAGTACCGATCGACACCACAATCTCTCAATGACAGCTTTTATCGAACACTTGGTGTTCATTATGAAACAAATAAATATTACATAAGAACCAAACACTAATAATCGATGAAAATTTAATACAAAACACCTTCTAGGTTCTAAGAAAACATTAATTTTTTTCATGAACTGTGTATGGAAAATCACTCCAAAACCGAAGCAAAGAAGCAAGAAATCACAAACGTTTGAAAAAACTAGAAAGTTTAGCATGACACCTGGTTGCGAAGGTCTCCAATCGAGAAGAGACGGACCAAGTTCACAAATACACCTAGAATCGATGAGATGGATCGATTATGTTCCGATTGAGGGGCCGTTTACCAAACGCTTACTCGGGCAAGTGAACACCAAGTCATTTTACCTTACCGGATAAATATGGTAAGGATCAAGAATCTCATTGGTGTAAGAGGGAGACAAGGACCAAGAGTCTTATCTGGTAAGTGAGCGCGATGACTCTTACCACGGTAAGCGCTTATGGGGTAAATTGTTGCATATGATATCGTTTTGGTGGACTAAAATCTTATCCGGTAACTAAATAACAGTGTTAAATTTTTCCAGTAAGCGCTTACCAGGTAAGTGTTTGGTAAACGGCCCCTGAATGAGGCTCAAATCAATTTATGTTTCTCAATTGAGAGAGACAAATCGTAATCCGGGACCAGTTGAGAGAAGACGCATATCTAGTTAGGAGAGCTATTGAGAAGTGACAGAGCATAAGAGGAGAAATAAGCGGTTGATTTATCACTTAACAATTCAGATGTCAATAGGAGCTTAGAAACTCTTATCACCCAAATAAACAAACACTCTTATTGGGCCGCACTCTTAACCGTTAAGAGTTAAAAGGTTAAGGGGCTGTTTGACAATTGTTGAATGATTTGGTGTAGAATGATTAAGTAGTCAGAATGATTAAGAGGCTCTCACGATATAATGCAAAATGAAATATAATTGTTTGGTAATTGTTTACAATGAAATTATAATGCTGAATGGTTAAGGGAACCACATGATATAAAATCATTCAAAGAGTTTTAGAACCATCAAGAGATAAACTTTTTTTTTACCAAACAAAATTTACCTCTTAACGGTTTAGAAGTTGTCTCTTAATGAAACTATTAAGAGGTAAACAAACAACCCCTTAAAAAGCTAATAAGAGGTAAATTTTAAAAAACATAGGTACAAGTAATATTAAAACCCAAATATGCAAAACTAAAAGTTAGAGTACTAAAAATGCTTATTTATGTCTAGTTGAGGGACTATTTTTGTAACTTACAAAAAGATCTACCACAGGCTATTCCAACTCCAAGTTTCGTTATTGCTACGTGTCCAGATACATCCCCCTCTCTGCCTTCTTCTTCGTCAAACCTACGCCATTCTCTTCCCCCCCAAATCTCATTCATCATTCATCAGTCATCATCATCGAGCCACCATTTTATCTGGAAAAAGGTACGCATACATTGATTACAAGTCATTGCGGATTAGGGTTTTTGATTGTAATTAATGGAACCCATAATCTCCGGTTACTTTCTCAATAACTGCAAATCCTACTTCGTTCTTGACTGTTGTAGCTGTTCTTGTCTCTGTTAAGATTGGGTAAACAAACTTCGTTTTCCCCGTTGTTTTCGTATAGAAATCTATGGATTTGACCCGAGCTCCCCAATCGAAACTATCGTTAGGGTTTGTACCTCACTCTTCTCACAGTAATGAAATAGCCAACGACACTGTATCGTTTCAGATCGATTCGAGTTTTCGAAGTCCTCCCCACCACCTTGTTTCTGGTGTTCCTCTTCAATTGATGGAGCAACAGACCACACCCGAGAACAAAAACGTCGATTTGAATGAGAAGCATCAGCAGACGAACGCTGGGAGTATGGATTTGAACGAGGAGAGCAGAGTTGGGGGAGAAGAAGAAGACGAGGATAGGGATGTTGAGGAGTTTCGGATTTTAGGGCATTCTATGTGTTTGAAAAGGCGGAGGGATAATAACAGCAACAGCAGCTGTGCCACCACTGATTCGGCTTGTTCTAACATCATGTCAAAACGGTGTCATACCGAGCAGAACAGGCAAGATCAAAGTCTTGAATCACGTAGACAGTCTGTTCGAGCGTGGGGGAACCAGTCCCTTCAGACTGCAGATCCTGATATATTTGAGTTATTGGAAAAAGAGAAGCAGAGACAATACAAAGGGATTGAATTAATAGCTTCGGAAAATTTTGTTTGTAAAGCAGTTATGGAAGCGTTGGGAAGCCATGTGACAAATAAGTATTCTGAAGGCATGCCACGTGCCAGGTACTATACTGGGAATCAATACATCGATGAGATCGAAATTCTTTGTTGCCAACGTGCTTTAGTTGCTTTTGGTCTTGATTCTGATAGTTGGGGAGTCAATGTTCAACCCTATTCTTGTACGTCTGCTAATTTTGCAGTCTATACTGGTTTGCTATCGCCTGGTGATAGAATTATGGGGTTGGATACCCCTTCTGGAGGTAACACGAGTCATGGGTACTATACACCTAATGGAAGGAAAGTTTCGGGTGCTTCAATTTTCTTTGAAAGTCTTTCATATAAGGTTAACCCACAGACAGGCATTATAGATTTTGACAAGCTTGAGGAAAGGGCTCTTGATTTTCGCCCAAAGATACTTATTTGTGGTGGGAGCTCATATCCTCGGGAATGGGACTATTCTAAGTTTAGACAGATCGCTGACAAGTGCGGTGCAGTCTTGATGTGTGACATGGCTCAAATTAGTGGTCTTATTGCTGCCAAGGTAATTTTTTTTGGTAGTTACTAAGTTGATGTTAGGTGCCTGTCATTACTTGTCATTTTGGTTAGGGCATGTATGTTAGCATCTTAAGGAGCTTGTACAACTTTATCCATACAGGACTTAATTGAAAACCAACCACACAGCCCTAACCCATTATCCGTGTCGATAATGGGTTATGCTGGTTATGCTGTTTATCACTATTTGAGCTTTATTGAGCCTTGAGTTTCATTTTGGCTCAGAGTTATCCACTTAAGGTTACTCAATGATATAGCTGCAATATCCATGTTTGCTTGAAAATAGTACTTTTCAGCTATTTTTTCCTTTCCATTCTTTCACTTGGTCAAATAATGATGTCATATTGAGTGTTCTAATTCATGCTGTTTTCGTTATAGTCTTTAGTATGCAGATTTTTTAGGTGCAATGATTGAGTTTATAGGCTTCTGGATTGCATATATGAATTGCTTATTGACATCATGCTATAGTTTGGCAGGCCATGTTGATACATTTTGTTTCTAACTGTCAGTTTGTTTATCAGTAGACATTTGGGACTTTACATTTTTAAGGGAGTCAATTTCATGTGATACATTAGTGAGTCGGCCTTACCAAATACTACAGATTTGCTATTGAGTAACAAGAGGAACATTTTTCATCTCTTTACAGTTGCTACAATTTCTTGTTTGTGTAATGGTTTTTATTTTCTTTAATAATTGCTATTCATGAAGATAGGGTTGGTTTCTTTCCATCTATCTATATGTTTTCATAATTTCGTCGTTAATGTTTTATAGGAATGTTCAAGCCCCTTTGAATTTTGTGACATTGTAACTTCAACTACTCATAAAAGTCTTCGCGGCCCTCGAGGAGGTATAATCTTTTATAGGAAGGGTCCTAAGTCTAGGAAAAGAGGAATGCTTTTGAATCAAGGTGATGGCAGTGACAGATATGACTTTGAGGAAAAGATAAATTTTGCTGTATGTCCTGCACTTCAAGGTGGGCCACACAATAATCATATTGCTGCCCTTGCAATTGCATTGAAACAATTGGCTACTCCAGAGTACAAGGAATATATGCAACAGGTGAAGAAAAATGCTCAGGCATTGGCATCTGCTTTGTTGAGGAGAAACTGCAGGCTGGTCACAGGGGGGACCGACAATCATTTGTTACTTTGGGATCTTAGAAATCTTGGATTGACCGGTACAAATCCTCTATTTCATCTTAATACCTTACTTTTTCTTCTCTGAATTCTTAATTGTAATATTGCAATTTGTTTGCTTTAGGATCCAATATTGAATTCATCAGCATTTCATCAATAGTTCACTTTTCACTAAAAGGATAATGTAATGACTAAGGAATTGCACCCCAAGCAGTTATGAAAGATTCCTATCCCCTCCTCTAAACTGAATGTGGATGTTTAAGTGCTGATTTTGTTTTTCTGCTTTGATATTTTGATATGAAATTTGGTGGGTTTCAATTGGAAATATTCAAGTACCATTTTTTTATTTATTGTCAAGAAGATTAAGACACAAGTACTAGTTAAATAGAGTTGTCTGACAAGTGAAAAGTTGTGTGGTCACTACTACATTGTAGAAGTGTTATGACATGGAACCGAAACAGATGGAATTATGCATCTTCTGCATGGTTATTGAACATATACTCTGTTTCCAGTAGGTTCTTGTGGGATCAATAAACCCAGGAGATAATAAAATAATTTCTGCTGGTGTGTCTGGTGCAATGTCTTTAGTCTCGGGTACATGTTTGTTTTTGTCCCTTGTTGGAGTTTAATTGCTTTCATGTGGTTTTTTTGTCTTATATTGTGCAATTTATTTCTTTGTTATACCCTATATATTTTTCTTTCATATGTTTGTTTGAACATCTTTAAAAGCGAATGAAAATTGGAGTTTATGTTGCAAACAACACTAGTTTTTCCTCCCCCATGATTAGAGCCCGCTTTAAATTTATAAAATCTAATATAGTAGGCTCTTTTGTTCTGGATCCAATTCTTTTTTTCTATTATAATTTTTGAAGTTTAATGTATTCATTTGTTTTTATTGTAACAAAAGCACGTATATTGAAATCAGAAGGTAGCTAACTCTTTTAACACTCGAGCATTATATTTGGAATAGGAGTTTAATTACTTGCAATCTGCTAAAACGAGTCTGTCCAACCTCTATTAGATCGCAAAGAAAATTACTGTCTGAATGACACATATGCTGCAAGTAAAGCTCATCAAGAGGAAAATCATGGTGGTAGACATTCTGTGTTGCATTATTTGTTCATGAAAGTTTAATCCCACAATGTATCAATTGGATTTTGGATGTCTTTCTTCTTTCCCATTGCCTTTCCACCATTGGGTTTCCTGCTTGTATGTGCTAATGGTGTTCTTGAGGGAATTGATGCAGTGTATATATCCCTGGTGGTGATTAATTAATGTCGTGTTTTCTTTTTGCAGGCAAAAACTTAGAGAAAGTATGCGAGATGTGTCATATTACCGTGAACAAAATTGCCATATTTGATGATAATGGCACTCTCATCCCAGGAGGAGTGAGGATCGGTGAGTAGAATTTATTTACTGTTTTTGTTGGTTTCAGACAGAGGTTTTGAATTTATTTATAGAAAGAGTGGACATATGTGCATCAATGATAGTGATGAATGTAATGTTTGCTCGAGTCAGGTACTCCTGCTATGACGTCACGAGGGTGCCTGGAATCGGATTTTGAGACGATGGCAGATTTTCTGTGTCGAGCAGCTCAAATCACAAGTTCGGTGCAGAGGGAGCATGGGAAAATGGTCAAGTGTTTCTTGAAAGGTGTTGAAAACAACAAAGACATTGTTGATCTTGGAGGGCAAGTTGAGAAGTTTGCAACTCAGTTTGCAATGCCAGGCCAAGATTTGTAGGAGTAAAGTTTAAGGTAATACACAATTTATTGTATGCATCATCATCATCATCATCATATATGTGTTTGAGAAAGAAAAGAAAAAGAAGGGGTTTATTTGCATACACCATTATCATATAATTTTTTATTGACTTTTGGGTTAAATGAAGAAAATAGCAGCACTTTTTCCCTTTTTGTTTTATATTGTTTGTAATCACATATCTCTATAATCCTATAATGTTAATGTTATGTTATTAAAGTTGAGTATTGTAAATGGAGAAAGACATTGATGGGTTCTAAATGTATTTGTATTTATTGTATGTGGGAGATTTGGAATTTAGTTAGTTAGAGGCCGTTTACTGAATGCTTACCCGGGTAAGTGCTCATATTACCCGGTAAGAGCAAGACAAGGAACAAGAGTCTTACCCAGTAAGTAAATGCGACGACTCTTACCATGGTAAGAGCTTATAATGTAAATTATTGCATACACTGCTGTTTTGATGGACGGAAATCTTATCCGATAAGTAAGTAATAGTGTTAAATTTTACCGATAAGCACTTATCGGGTAAGTTTTTGGTAAACAGCCTCTTGGTTAGGTGCTGTTTACCAAACGCTTACCTGGGTAAGTGCTTACCAAGTCATATTACTTTATCGGATGAATATGTGGACTAAAAATCTTACCCGGTAAGAGCGAAAACAAGAATCGAGAGTCTTACCCAGTAAGTGAGGACGAAGACTCTTACCATGCTTAGCGCTTATTGTGATAAATTGTTGCATACGATGCGTTTTAGTGAATAAAATCTTACCTTGTAAGTAAGCAATAGTGTTGAATTTTATCGTTAAGTACTTACCGGGTAAATGTTTAGGTAAACGGCCAAGTTTGTTTTATATGTCCTGGTCTAGGATAAAATAAAGGCTTTTATTTGAAACAAAGGCCAGCCAAGTCTCTTTTGATTCAATATAAATGTGTTTTTGAGTTTTTCAAACAATTGTTCATGTTCCACAGTAGGTTTTTTCAATATTTTGTGGATTTTTATTTGCTTTTTTAATTAAAACTTTTTACCTGCTTAAAAAGTTTAAAATAAATTATCTTCGATATTACATTCATCTCGATATAGTTTTTGCCTTTTTGTTTTTAACCTTTTTTTACATGAAATGATATATATATGTTATATTTATTATGAATATTTATGTACGTTCAAGTGAGAACAACAGTTGCACACCATAAGTCTGTAACTTGATATCACATTTTTCAATAATTTCTTTAACGTCGTAAGACACCACGTTCTTTGTCACCGTAACCCAACACCCATCGAGACTGATTGAGAACTCATCGAGACCGAGAGAGAACCTATCGAGAATTCTTTCGTTGACTTGGTATGTGTTAAAAATAACATACCACATTCATTTTTCATCGAGAACCAATCAATTGATTTATTATTTGTTTGCGTCTAAAACCATATATACCATCACTTTTGTATTTTATCGAGAAGGATCGGGAACCCGTCTAGACCAATCAAGAACACATCAAGATCGATCGACAACCCATTATGATTGATCGACACTAATAGGGACTAATCAAGAAACTATCCATTAATTTGATGTGTGTTTGTTTGTGTAAAATCATAACCTACTACTTTTAACTTTTATCGAGATGGATTTGGAAATCTATTGAGATGACTCAGAAACTCATCAAACGAGAACCCAATAAAGAAAAAAAATGAAAAACTAGAGTATGTAGCGTTAAAACTGTAGTATATTCATGATGAATATTATAGGGAAAATTAATATTTATGATAAATATCATACTCATATAGATACTAGAGAGTTATTGTATACATATGATTACATAAAAATATTCATGATGAATAATATATATATATATATATATATATATATATATTCATGATTAATGTTAAAGTGAAAATGTATATTCATGACGAATATCATGCTGATGTATGAATATTAAAAAGTTATAATATATACGTGAACATATATAAATATTCATGATGAATAATATGTATCATATTGATGTATGAATACTAAAAAGTTATTTTATATACGTGAATATATATATAAATATATATGTATATATATATGTATATATATATATGTATATATATATGTATGTATATATATATGTATATATATGTATATATATATATATTCATGATTATATTCTTGATGGATGCTATAATGAAGACGTATATTGGTAATTAATATCACAGTGATGTATGAATACTGAAGATTTGTTGAATACACGTAAAAATACATAACTATTCATGATAAATGTTATAGTAAGTTGTATATTCATGATGAATATCATACTATTGTATGAATATTAAAGAGTTGTTGTAAACATATGAATGTGTATATTCATAATGAATATTACATAAATATACTATATGACGTAAAAAACGTTAAAAACATAAAAAAAAGCTATATTGAAGAGAATGAAACTCTTGATTTTTTGATGTAATTTGTTTGATTAAAATATTAATTATTTTAAAGATAATTTAGTTTACAAATTAAGGGGTAAAAGTTTTAATTAGAAAAGAAAATAAAAAGTCAAACTTGATAAGCGTAAATCTTAACTTTGATTTTTTCCTCTAATAACTTCTTAATAACCTTTTCATGTTTTAACCACTGATTAGTTTTCTAAATTTCTATCAATGGCCAAGATTTGTTCTCATGTTCACAATGAAAAATAAGTTTTTATTTGAACCCACACATACACACACACACACACACACACACATATATATATATATATATAGAGGTTAGTTATTATACGACCATTGACATTTGCGCAACCAATACAATCTAATCTCAACCGTCCATTTCATTTGATTAATATGTGATTTCATAGAAGTTTTTATTGTTTGCTAATATAAAGTATTGATCATAATTAATGAACCATATTCATCTTTCATAAATATTCAATTCTTAATAAATGAACTCTCATCATTTCCATCAGTATCTTAATTTATTGGGTTGCATTGATTGTACAAATGCGATGAGTTGTATTTGAAACGA